GGCGAAGGGGGCCAAAGATTGTGCCAAACACTCTGTCAGAGAGGTCTCGCACGGCCCAACTCGCTGGGCGGGAGCGGCCGGATTTAAAGGCTGCCGCCTCTGCCGCCGACCCCAAAGAAGGTTCCTCGTACAGTTGAATTCATGGTTCGGGATCTTCCAGCGCTCGTTGGGGTTAGGCGTTTGTGTTTCTCGTTGGGGCGACGGGGTTCTCTCTGGTTGTCCAGCTACTGGGTTCTTGTGTCCAGAGGGTATGTTGGGCTGCTTAGGTCGATTTTCTGTTGTCTTGAGGCATTCTGGAGGCGGCTTTTGCGGGGCTTTCTCCTCTTCTGTCTCCGCCTTTTGGCTTCTCCTAGTCCTCTTTCTTTCGTCCGTCGGGATGCCCCGCAGCTGTCCACCAGTTGCGAACAGCTTCAGCCCGCCAGCAAAAGTTGTTTCCTGATGGGTCCTCCAGAACCGATGCACAGGGGCTCCAGGAGGCTGGGGATGCCGAGCGTGGTGGTGGGGGGGTCCCCGGATAGATTTTGCAGGGTGGGGGTTCCCTAAGAACAGATGCGCAGAGGCTCCAGGAGGCTGGGGATGTCAGGCGCGGTGGGGTTCGGGCGTGGTGGGGGGGGTCCCGGGACAGATTTTGCAGGGTGGGGGGTCCTTGTTAACCGATCCACAGGGGGCTCCAGGAGGCTGGGGATGTCGGGCGTGGTGGGGGGGTCCCTGGAGCAGATTTTGCAGGGTGGTGGGTCGTTCTAGAACTGATGCATAGGGGCTCCTGGAAGCAGGGGATGTCGGGCGTGGTGGGGGGGGACTCCGGGGCAGATTTTGCAGGGTGGGGGGTCCCCAAGATCCGATGCATATGGGGCTCGAGGAGGCTGGGGGTGTCGAGCGTGGTGGGGGAGGGTCCCCGGAGAGATGATGCAGAGTGGGGTGTCCCTAATAACCGATACGCAGGGGCTCCAGGAGGCTGGGGATGTCGGGCGTGGTGGTGGGGTCCCGGGAGGGGGATCCGTAAGAACCGATGGACAGAGGCTCGAGGAGGCTGGGGATGTCAGGCGTGGTGGGGTGTCGGGCGTGGTGGGGGGGGGGGCTGACAGATTTTGCAGGGTGGGGGTCCCTAATAACCGATCCACAGGGGTTCCAGAAGGCTAGGGATATCGGGCGTGGTGGAGAGGTCCCCGGGACTGATTTTGCAGGGTGTAGGGTCCTTCGGAATCGATACACAGGGCCCCCAGGAAGCTGGGGATGTCGGGCGTGGTGTGGGGGGGTCCCGGGACAGATTTTTCAGGGTGGGGGTCCCCAAGAACGTATGCACAGCCGGGACAGATGATGCAGGGTGGGGGTTCCTGAGAACGGATGCCCAGGGGCTCCAGGAGGCTGGGGGGTCCCCAAGAACCGATGCACAGGGGCTCCAGGAGGCTGGGGATGTCGAGCGTGGTGGGGGGGGGGGGGGCCCGGGCCAGATGATGCAGGGTGGGAGGTCCCCAAGAACCGATGCACAGGGGCTCCAGGAGGCTGGGGATTTCAGACGTGGTGGGGTTCGGGCGTGGTGGGGGGGGTCCCGTTGCTGATTTTGCAGGGTGGGGGGTCCTTCAGAACCGATCCACAGGACCTCCAGGAGGCTAGGGATGTCGGGCGTGGCTGGGGATGTCGGGCGTGGTGTGGGGGGGTCGCTGGAACAGATTTTGCTTGGTGGGCTGTCCTTTAGAACCGATGCACAGGGGCTCCAGGAAGCTGGGGATGTCGGGCGTGGTGGGGGGGTCCCGAGAGAGATTTTGCAGGGTAGGACCGATACGCAGAGGCTCCAGGAGGCTGGGGATGTCGAGCGTGGTGGAGTTCGGAAGTGGTGGTGGGGGGTCCTGGGGCAGATTTTACGGGGGGGGGTCCCTGATGTGGCTAGGGATGTCGGGCGTGGCTAGGGATGTCAGGCGTGGTGGGGGGGTCCCTGCGATGGACAGAGGCTCGAGGAGGCTGGGGATGTCAGACGTGGTGGGGTTCGGGTGTGATAGGGGGGGGTCCTTCAGAACCGATCCACAGGACCTCCAGAAGGCTAGGGATGTCGAGCGTGGCTTGGGATGTCGGGCGTGGTGGGGGGGGCCCGGGTCCTTCAGAGACGATGCACAGGGGCTCCAGGAGGCTGGGGATGTCGGGCTTGGTGCGGGGGGAGTCCCGGGACAGATTTTGCAGGGTGGGGGGTCCTTAAGAACAGGTGCGCAGGGGCTCGAGGAGGCTGGGGATGTCAGGCGTGGTGGGGTGTCGGGCGTGGTGGTGGGGTGTCCCGGGGCAGATGATGCACGGTGGGGGGTCCCTAATAACCGATCCACAGGACCTCCAGGAGGTTAGGGATGTCGGGAGTGGTGGGGGGGTGCCTGGAACAGATTTTGCAGGGTGGTGGGTCCTTTAGAACCGATGCACAGGGGCTCCAGGAAGCAGGGGATGTCGGGCGTGGTGGGGGGGGGGGGCCCGGGACTGCTTTTGCAGGGTGGGGGGTCCCCAAGAACCGATGCACAGGGGCTCCAGATGTCGAGCGTGGTGGGGGGGTTCTGGGACAGATGATGCAGGGTGGGGGGGTCCCAAGAACAGATGGGCA